AGTGTTAAATCAGTTTCTTGTAATGAAACTTGAAGACAACATTGTGTTTGATTCTCACAACTAGCAAAGATGCATTCAGTCACACAGCATTCTAATGTCCTACCAATGCAAGATGTTCTTTACTTTTCTTGTAATACTTTTTCTATACCCTCCATGTTCCAAAATATAAAAAGACCGAAAGAGCTTTTTTCCTCTTTTCTTCAGCAATATACACTGCAAGGAAAAACGAATCCTTCAATTTGTCTCTGCCTTTATAACAAGGGTCCTGCACCCTGTCTGCTGTGAGTAATCATCACTACCAATAGCTTCCTTTCATGCATCTGTGCAGAAGGCAATTCTAGGCTGCAGAGAAGGTAACAAAGGGCAACATGCTCAAGCAGCTGAGGAACCCCAACACGCTGCCTTACAAGGAATGAAAGGAAGGAAAAAAATAATAGTGTAAACGCAGTATTATTCCTTATATTTAGTTGAATTCTCAAAAATAAGGCTTCTGAGATGGGCCAAGATTTTTTTTTAAATGTTTCTTTAAGAAAAACTGTTCCAACTGGAAAACATACCTGGACATTCTACCATATGGAAAGATTCTCAAATTCTCCGATCTGATTCACATGGTTAATTTAGATAATTAACTAAAGCTGTTCAAAGGGAGGGCAAGCAGGAAACATCAGAAAAGGAAGCCGAGCACATTTTCACGTGTATAGCAACTACTCCATGCTTCCTACAATCACCGAAGGAGACATTATAGCAATGATGATCAGGGCAAAAGATGAGTGGAGCTCAGGGGATGGAAGAAACCTGCTACTCCGACTTCATGGTGAGCTTTGGAAGAGAGGGAAGAACACACAGCACTTCCTGTAACATCAGAGATGGCTCCCTTATCTCTCTGAAGATCTCTATGTGAGCTGAAGTAATTCACCACTATGCCCCCCAGACCAATCAGGAACATGGCTGAGGAGGGATAGCATTCTCTCTTAAAGAACACAGGCCGCATTTGCTATTATTATTTTATCTTTAAGGAGCCATTCATTGCCTCAAACTGACTTCCTGGCCTCAGTTATCAAACAATCAATAACTGCCACTTGAGAAGAACTGGTTGCCATCCACAGTCTACAGGAAGCCTCAAAGGCAAAGAGCAATTGCTGCACTGAATTTGAAAGTAAGAACTCTAAATGACTATATCCTGTTCTTACTGGGATGATGGTTGGGTTCAGGCCAAGCTGCTGGAACTGTAAGAATCTTTGAACCCAGCACTAACCAACAGAAATCACGCACAATACTGTTTTCTTCAGTATTAAAAAGGTCTTACTGAGGCTTGCATACTATCAGCGGAACCATATATGCAGTATTGTTCTCCAAACAAGGAAGTGAACTAAGGCGTCTAATTTCTTGACTAACTTCTTATAAAGAATGAGATCGGTGCCAAAAAGCAATCACTAGATTCCCCAGTCAAACAAAACACTTAAGGTTGTGATTAGAATCAGTCATTTGTGTTTAAAGTAATTAATGTGTTGCTGGATGAGGGCCCAGTGACCTCTTTTTTGGACAATAGTCTAGCTAAATCCAATAAATGAATGGTCATTCTTGAGAACTGGAAGTTTATTTAATGATAAGCTTTAAAATCCTGTTTTCGGCTATTGAAATAAGCCAGCAATTAAGCTATGAAGACTAGGGGGCTAGAATGTGGTTGGTTTTTCATGCTTTCTTGTTGGCATTTGGATGCTGCAAATATTTCAATATGTGACTAGAATTGTCATTCCACATTAGTATTGAGCTCCAAACCTTAGCTAAGGCAGATTCTGAGAACCACATGCATAGTAAAATCAATGATTTATCTGAATACTGCAATTTCTCTGGCAATACCACTTGTCACAGTCTTATTCTGGTGATGAGTTACTGTTTTCATGTATTGTATTTGTCAATAAAAACTAAGGCATTCTGGCAATTTCTTTAGATTTTGTTATGAAAATAATAGCACTTAGTAGCAGCAGTGGGGAACAAATAGTCTCACTCAACTTCAAAAAAGGATCATATTTATCTTTTAAAATTTGACACAAAGTTAGTTTCCTTTATAAATATGAAAAACAGCATCCAAAGTGCTGAACAATTGAGCTCTTTTTTTATAAACAAAGATGCTGTCAGATTCATTGTGTCCACAACAATTATATAATTTAAGATCTTTTCTGCAAAAATGACCTATGCAATTTTCCTTACACTTATTTTTTAAAAGCTTTTCATCATCCTTCTTTCATATTCTACTTAACTATAGCTTGCACTGATAATATATACATTGTAAAACATTATAATATATAAACCTGTGTTTATTTCAGCCACATTTTGTCTAAAATCTTCAATGACATCACAACCAATTGCATTACTTTCAACATAAAGGCTGTTGCTTAAACTAATTTTTTAAATAAAAGCTTAGCCAAATTTAACAAGTTTTCCTATCTACTAGGATTAGCCAGTACAAGCTGCTATTGCCATCCTCACACAAAATAGATTTTCAGTTTTGTAGGATCATCTCAACTCTGTAGTTATCACAAGATACAGTAATAAGCAATACCATAAGTCTTCAAAGTTTAACTCTGCATTTTTAAAGCAACATAGCACTTCAGTCCTAAGAAACTGTTTTGTTTTTAGGCATTTATAAAGACAGTTTGGCTAAAATAATGTCCAAGATAACAGAAAAAAAATTAGTAGCATCCAGTAACTGTCAATGAAAAAAATCTATCAGCCTTTAAAAAAAAAAAAAAGTTTGAAAGAAAAATATCACTTCCCTGTGTTCACAAGGGACATAACTAAAATTCATCTCTTACAGAAGGATGTTTCAGTTTGATTAGGTTTTTTATTATTATTATTAGCTCCTTGTTAGAACAGGCACATATAGAATTTTTCTCACTGCTAGATGAAAGCAAGTTCAAAGTCAAATTTAAGTTTGCATCTATCTTTCAAGATCTACTATGCATAACACACACTAAAAGCTTCACCTAGCTTGGCCTCATTATATCTTCCTTAATTGACTCTTAATAAAAAGACTGTGTTCCAGTGTGATGTATATTAATTGGTTTTCAAGAACAGAGCCTTGAAGCAGTATAGATATCTCAATTAAGGATGCATTGCGACATAAATACAAAATTTAAGCCTCTTCTGATTTCCAAAAGATTGACTCACAGCTTGAACTAATGCACCAGGTTTCTAGATCTATTTTATATCTAGGCAGGAAGGCAAAAGTATTTCTATAGTAGATTGATTTAATGCTGCTGAAGACTAAAGTAGGACTACATTCTGAGTGTATGAAAGGCTGTCACAGGCGGAAAGCTTAATTTATCAATTTGCCAGTTTCTCAGGGGAGGCCATTAATGACACCAGCATGAGACTGCCTTTTAGTAGGATTCATTGGACTTATTTTCCTAACCTAAAAAAAATTATGACTTCTCCCCCATAAAACATCAGATCTTTCAGACATGCACAAGGATGACAGGAAATGCAGCTCAAAGCAGAGAGCTCTATCTGTTCATCTTGTATTTTCCTGCTTATATTCAGAACTCAAAGTGCCATAAAGACAGCATATTTAAAAAAAACATCCTACACCACTTTGTATAGTCACTTTGCACATAATAAGAAATTGTGTCTTTTAAACAGCATGGCTTTTCTTAAACCTTCAGATGCATAAGCAGAAGAACTCAGTGGTAACATATCATGAATGAGTCAGTAACCACTCTCTGTAAGTATCATGGAGCATTTGAGTTACTACCATTTAACTCAGTTTAAGCTTCTTATAATAAAATAACAGCCTTCAGTGCCAACACAGGACGCCTTTAAGGTAATTACAGAAATTTGTGCAGCATGACCAGAAGAAAAACTTCAGTTACATATACAGCTCCATTCCATAAAAACACTTTAAAAATACACCTAACTCTTTATCCCACTGATTCACATAAATTTTAGGCTTATCTGCATTTCCAGTAGTCAGACATATGAAATAACTAAACCTATACAAAGCATATATGACCTTCGCAAATAGTCACCATCGGTCCTGTTCCACCACAAAGGCTATTAATGCATACAATGAAGCATACAGTCTGAGATGATACTTCATAATGATTTACATGTAGCTTTCTGCCTTTCAATATTTGTAGAGGTATTTAATCATCATCAGAATTTGTAGCTTGTTGAATAGGCATAGTTGTTATTAAAGCATCAAGTTTGCTGTACTAGATTCTAACAGAGCTGCAGTTCCCAACGAAAATGGGGAAGAGCATGAGAGCTGAGCCTCCTTTCAAGTATACCAAAGCAAGCTCTGTTTGGCTTTATACACCTACAGATAAATCAAGTTTCTCAATCTCATCTCTGGCAGATTGGTCAATAAGCAGAGGCAAGCCATGCTACTGTGCTTTTACTGCCCTTGTCGTTACTGTTGAAGCCGTATCTTGAGTAGTGTGTTCAGCTTTGTGCCCACCACTATGAGACAGGGAAGACATAATCACTTTCTACAAGTACGTGAATGGGGTTGTATCGAGCTGGGGTCAGTCTCTTCTCCAAGGAAATTAGCAGCAGGATAAGAGGCAATGTAGTTTGCATCAGGGATGATTCAAGTTGGACATGAAGAAAAATTTCCCAGGAAAGTTGTGGAGCTATCAACCCTGGAGGCTTCAAGAAATATGTAGATGTGGAACGTGAAACGTGGTTCAGTTGGCATGGTGGTGATGGGTTGATAGCTGTACTAGATAATCTTAGAGGTCTTTTCTGATCTCAGTGATACTAAGTGAGATTCTATGATTCTGGGCTGGCAAGCTTGCGCTAGCTTCTCTCCTACCCTATGACTCCCCACATTTGGTCTTGCAACAGGTTCAGAGAAAGTCTGAGAACGACTCACTGGAAGAAGAGAAAGCTAACATTTGCTTGCAAAGGCAGAAGGGCTGACAAGGAAAAAAGACAATAGTGCAGGTCCTGGGATTTCACCCTCTGCTCAGGTGATGTGATGAAATGAAGTAACACACCCACATTTAAATTCTTTGTCCTTTCGAAGAATTTGATGTGTTCTCCCAGCTGTGGTTACGTCTGTGAAAGAGGAAAGGAAGGGATATTGTCATCTGTGAGATAACAGTCGTCTTTCACCAGGAAACTCACCAGTGTTTTTAATCACAATTTTTCTGTTTAGCCTGTGGGGAGAGATGACCTAAGAATGTTTGCCCCTGGAATATTAAAACCTTACCACAGGAACTGAAGATAAATAAAATACTGAGGGCAGTGGAAAGCCTTCCAACACCTTCCTGTTCAGTTAACAGCTATAACAGCAATTAACTATCCTTCTTCAACCTATCAAGGCAGACTGCATCAATCACTGAGAGAAAACCCGTGGGACTGAAGTGCCACACCAGCATAGACAGAAATACCAACGTACAGAAGACACTTGTTACCAGAACACAAACACCCCTGAACAACAACATCGCAACAACAGCCACTCCTTGAGACTCACAGAATCACAGAATCACAGAATCACCCGGGTTGGAAGGGACCCCAAGGATCATGTAGTTCCAACCCCCCTGCCTAGCAGGGCCACCAAACATACACATTCAGATCAGGTTGCCCAGGACCCCGTCCAACCTGGCCTTAAACACATCCAAGGACGGGGCATCCACAACCTCCCTGGGCAGCCCGTTCCAGGGCCTAACCACTCTCCTAGTAAAGAACTTCCCCCTAACATCCAACCTAAATCTTCCCTCCTTCAACTTAAAACCATTTCCCCTAGTCCTGCTGTTATCAGCCCTTTTGAAGAGTTTACTCCCCTCCTGGGTGTAGGTTCCCTTCAGGTATTGATAGGCTGCAATGAGGTCACCCCGCAGCCTTCTCTTCTCCAGGCTGAACAAGCCCAACTCCCTCAGCCTGTCCTCATAGGGGAGGTGCTCCAGCCCCCTGATCATCTTAGTCGCCCTCCTCTGGACCCTTTCCAAAATCTCTATGTCTTTCTTGTACTGACTCCAAGCTCTTCCACTGGTAAACAAAGAAAATTCAAACCTCAAAACTTAAGACATTGAATAACAGACTCAAAGCCACTGCAGCCCATTAATCAGTGGCATTTCAATGACATCCACCCAAATACCCACAAGATTAGAAGCTAACACTGCAGAGCAATCTTTGAATACTCTGACACTGACACACCACTGATTGTGCGCTATTTACACGTCATTGGAACACACTAAAACCTAAAGTAGTCAGGAGAACTAATTTTTTTTTTCCTCTCAGGGAAAGTCAAGGTTTTCCATCCTCCCTAATGGTTTCTGCGTGTCTCACTCACTGTGATCCTTAGACTGTGAACAAGAGAATTAGGGAACTATAAACCCTGAGACTGTGCATAGCATTCTGAATAGGAATTCCATTTATTCTTATAACTCCTCATTTTTTCTCTATTGTGAAGACAGACCTGTGTTTCTGAGAGATAATACAGATCCTATAGCCTCAAGAAGCTGGATTTTTTTCCCCACAAAAAGACTGAAGACAATACCTATTACTATTCCAGCTTTACAGATATGGAAACAAATTACTAAGGCAACTAATCTCTCCTCTTTATATTCCATCTTTACAGGAGTGTTCTGATTCTCAGATGTGGATAGAAGTCACAGTTCATTTTGAAATCAGTGAAATTTGTGCAATCTTTATAGTGCTTGAGCTGAAATCTGCATATGAAGACTTGCAGCCCAGTCTTAAAGACCCCACTTGGAATCAGGGTCCAAATGGTAGTCTCTGATTTATATTCTCTGATTTTTATTCTGCCCCTTCCCTTCGGATGTTTCAACAGCTTATGGAGCTGTTCTCCACGTGATCTGGACCAACCTCAGTCTAATCATTCAGACACTTTTGTGACTTCTCCAGTGGCACTGGTAGCCAAACCTGTTTTTAACTATACTGAACTAATCTTGGCTTTTCTCAAAAAAAATCAGAAGATGCACGAATAGAGTCTCCAGACGCAGAAGATTAGACTTAGAGAGCTGTGATCTGTAGGGAACCAGTGAGAAAGTACTTGGCCTTCATGATCCATTTGATTAAGTCATATGCTTTAAGGTCTCTACAAGACTTACCACATGCTCCTTTTTCTCCAGAACTGGAAGCTAAATTCTCTTGTAAACCTATTTTCCTTCACAGTGCTTTAACCTTGTAAACCCAAAAGTTGATGAGAATTCACTGAGTAGAAGAAGAGCAGAGGGAGAGGTCAGCTTCTCATCCAGTATCACACCACCAATTTCAAAAGCATTAAGATTAGCTCCTGATGGCTATAGCTCCTGTCTAAATCATAAAGAATCTCCCATAAACACATAATCTGTAAAACATCCTGAGGATTTGATAGGGACATTCCCGCAGAGGCTCACACTCCTTCTGAATGCAAGGTGAACATAAGTGTCAAGTTATGCTTGAAGAAGTATACAGAGATCAGCATTTCCATGTCCCCTCTTTCTTAGCAGCCATTTAATCCCACTCTTCCTTTTGCAAACCATGAAAGACAAAAGAAAGAAAGGAAAAAAAGCCTCTTTTGCAAGCTAACGAGCAAATGTAAATTTAAGCCCTATTTGCCCAGTACAGAATGTGTCTGAATTCCATCTGTATCATACGGCTACATGCCAATTACTTTAATTAGGATGAGATCTAAGAATTACAGGAGAAAATTCATAGAGTAATTAAGAAATATTTTTTCCTCTTCAGTGCTCTACTTTCCTCTTTTCCTTTGCTCATTTCCCTGTTTCTCCAAGCCAACTCCCTTTCTCCATTCAGGGAGTTTCTCTTTCTGATTATTTAGCCATTTTGGCACCAGAATTGTTTTACTTTCACCTTGAGGCATGCAGGCAAGCCAAAAAGCTGTTTGCATCTAATGCTTCCAAGACAAGGTGTAAAAAAAGTAAAGAAATAAAAGCGTAAGGACTTATGCTGATTTAGAGCACAGTTGGGTGCAGCATGGCACAGCGCTTTGTAGAGCATCCTATTACAAAGTAATGGCACATTCTGCCAAGAAATGCCACCGTTCATTGCTCAGGGAGCTGGGTAATCTCACACAAATGCAACAAATGTACTCAACAATGAAGGAAAAACTGATTGGGTTGCACAGACATACAGCAGGACCGGTAATCAGCATAATAATACTGAATGAAACAATGAAATGAGTGCTGTCTTAACAATACCAGCAGAAGTCATACAGCTGTCAAGATTTGTTCAACATTAATTTTCATTTCAAGAGCTATCCAGAATCAATCTGCTTTAGAGTTCAGAACCAACTCACTACACCAACTGGGGGCAGCTTTTAATAAATATGCCACATAGTATATATATAAAATACTGCTTTTCCCCACATTTGACACGTTGAACCAGAACACATCAGACTAAGTCTGGACAAATTCCCACGCAAAATTCTTTGGCTGTAACAAAATGCCTTCTGGGAGTTTCACAAAAACTCATCACACAACTGGTTCTTAAGTAGCAGGACTTTTCTCTCTTTCTTTTGAAGATCTTATGAAGTATCCACTGGCTTAATTCATCACATCTTTCTGCAGCTATAAACCTTTGCTTGGCAGAAGAGAAAAGCCAAGCTAAGTGTTACGCTATTCTGGAAGAGTTTTGCATAGGCTTGTCTTGTTTTAAGCCAGGTTTAAAAGTTAGGCACATTCCACAAGTCACAAAGATGCTTACATTTATGAGGACTGCTCCAAAAGCAATGCCTCCTTATTTTATTATGTTAGCTTATCATGTCAGAGGGAGATGTTGGTGGTATAGTAGCAGATATCTGAAACAGAGAGGTAGCATTAAATTCCTCCATGTGAAAAAAAATCGCATCATTGACATTTGTCAATGCTTGCTGAACATTTATGGAGAACACAGTGGATGTGAGCACACTGAGGCAGAGGGTGGTGTGTTTCAGCTGTGGTGACAGCAACAGTGGGTCACCTTTGCTGGTGCAGATTTTTTTTATGAGCGGAGCATGCAAACTCTTGTTCATCGCTGGAGAAAATGCATAGTTAATGGTGGGGACTACTTTGAAAAACAGTGTTTTGTAGCTGAGAATTTGCTCTATAAAATAACGTTGGTGTGCTTTTTGTAGCTATTGTAGTTTCCATGCAAATAAGTAGGAGGCATTACTTTTGGAGCAACCCATGTAGAATCACCAAGGGTGGAAAAGACCTGTAGACTAAGTTACTGCAAAGTATTTTAGAATCGGGCAATAATCATCAATATACCTTAGAGCTTGGCAGTTAAATTGTGTTGTAAAAGTGCATTCCAGGTTTTAATCCAGTTCTTAAACTCATATTAAAATTAGATGATGTATCATACAGTAACGTTAGCACAATTAGAACAACGGTCAAAGTGAAATAACATTAAATGCAAAATGTCGCCCACGCTACAGCTGTAATGAGAATTGTATTTCATTCAGTCATGAAACTTTTGTAATTTATAAAACCATCACATGTGAAACCGAGCTGAAATGGAGCCTTATTGAAAATTCAGTCATTAAGAGCTTGACATTCAGCTGTCTGCTGGCAACCGGAATGTCATCATTGATTTTAGAGATTACTGTGGAAACAACATCTGGTTTTAGACTTGCACCAAATAATTTCTGAATAAACATGTATTCACTTCTGTGCTATACCCAAATACAGACTTTAGGGGAATAAGTAGGTTCATGGAATATTACAGATCAGTGTTAACTAGGAAATAAGTTTATTCTTTAAACACGAGGTGACAGATTCTTAGCAAGGATAAATTATTTAGATACTGATTTATGCCAAATGAGAACTGGGCCCTGCCTCATTAGAGGATGATTCAGTCCTCACTTTTGTAGTATTTGGCAGTACCTCAGGGACAGATCAGATTATAGATGCTTTAAAACTGGAATGTGTCAGGGTGACCTAAATGCAGTCGAAGCTAATGTAGTTATGGTGTGCAAAACCCTTGGTGGGATGCTCAGGAGACAGTTCCTGAAGGGCTCTTTTTGGTTTATTTAAATCTCGTTTCAGGTGATTTCAGCTAATGAGACAGAAAATGAAATAAGGTGCCAGGATTCACATCAACTCAGTTTG